ATTTTCAACACGAGTCTCTCGGGCTGCCAAGATTTTTATTCTCCTGCTGCATTGAAAGCTCGGGTCGTGATCGTCGGCGGTTGCGCACAGCACTTCGATCGTTGACAACGAAGTGCCGTGCTGCATTTCTGAAGAGGGATACTTTCGAACACGATATGGAGCAATTCACCGCATACGTCTGTTTAACCTTTGTGCTGGTGATTTAGTCCTCTGCCAAATATATGCCGACTTGCCGATTGAAGCTCGTGGTAGACTGGGTTGGTGATCTGTTTGATCGACAAGCATGCTTAAGGTACTTTTAAATCCAACCTCGAGACCATGCGTTCTTTTAGAAGACTTCCGAACGATGGTCAACCCAGAGCACGCAGTATTTAGACGCAATATGAGGTATCGGTCTTCCAATCGTCATACAGTTTATAATTGTTAGATCCATGCTCTCGACAACGGGGTCATTTCTCTATTTGCGAATTTCTTTTAGGCTTTTCAAAGGTAGTAAGCCTATAGAGCAGTCATGAACGAACTAGACTCGGCGTACGAGAAGACAGATATTCATATGATGCAGAGTGAAGTCTCCGTATAGAGCTCTGGCCGGGTTTTCAGCTTTGCCGATCGTCCTCGTAATTAGGACTGGAGACCCAAAGATGTCGGGGCCTCGCTATATTGATGGCATTTACTAGAAGCTTCATGGTATGATTTTGAAGCCCTGCTGGGCAAGTCCAAATCTGTTCAAAATATACAGATGAGTTCTGTCAAGTCTGTGATGCATCCCAACTGCCCTCAACCATGGCGAAATATTCTCCTTTTGCGCCTGTTATCTTGTTCGTTTGCCTGGCCCTTCAATACAACTCTCCAATGCTTGTTTCTTTCAAATGGAAAACGCGTTTAGGACTATAAACGCACAAAGCAGGGTCTGCCGGTTGCTGTTTGATCTGGACTTCCCCTGGCCAACATCATCCTCGTGCCGGAAGAACAGTGAGACACCTGTCTAGCAGCTGCAACCCTTCTAACACTGACTTGTAGACCGGACGAGACATCGTGTGGCGAAGACACGCAAGATCAGTCCACGGGTAGTCAAAATGTGACCGAGGCTCTGCATCTCTGTTTGGCCTTTGCACGTGGCCGTGGATGATCCGTAAGAAGCCCCAGTTGGGCCAGTGGTCCGTCATTTGGCCGGTACATTCAAGAAGCACGCGAATGCCACAGCACTAACTGTGACGTGGTGACAAAAGATGTGCACACAATGATAGAGAACGTTGGAAGGCAGGTTGAGAATACACGAACTGATGTGCAGAGGGGGCGCTATTTCAGCATGGCCTGATACCTGACTCGAGCGCGACGTGTCACGGCATTTATAGAAGGAAATGACGCCCGTCATGGCGACTGCTCAAGGCATTGTGGAGGGTCGGGAGATTGAGTCTCACGATGTCGATCTGGTGGTGGTGGTGTATCAGGACAGCCACAGACCGGTTGATCCTCTGCACACTGATCCTCTGCAGACCAGGTCTTGGTCACCCGAGAGAGAGCGCGCAGGGGGTCCTGGAGTACTCTGAAGCCAAGTCAATGGAAGGATGTTAATGACTAAGACAAGGCAAGACCATTGAGGGAGGCAGGCAGGTGCAGGCGGGTGTTGCTGCTGCCAATACAGAATCAGGTGCCGCTTCTTCTCCGCGCCATCTTCAGGTCATCCTCATACTACCTGGTCTTTCTTCTGCCACCCTCGCCGTAACGCTCTCGAGCTAGAGCTGTCGAGGGCCCATGCTGCGTCTCATGATCGTCTCTTCGTTTGGGGTCTGTCTGTTATCGTTCAAAGACCGAGTTCGGCTGATCCCGAACTGCCAACAAGTCAGTCACTTTACGTCAGCTTTGCCAAGCCGGTCGAGGCAACCCATTCCTCCACCGCCCTGCCACGATCACCGACTGGGGCTCTTCTTCTGGGTAGCTCTCTTCCGCGGCGATGAGATTGCTTTTGTTGTTTCGAGGACCATATTCCCAGGCATCGACTCATTTTTGTTTCGCGACACTTTCCTCGCCAGGTCCGCTGGTTTCCCTGGCTGTTGGCTGCCATCTTGGAATGCCTCGGCGCACGGTCATAATTGGTGCGTCTTGGGACGACACTCCCTGGTACAGATGGCTTGGCAGCGCAGGGGCAGCTGTTACAGAACTTGGGCTGTCAGGTCAGGGCGTCCAGTCTGCGTCTGCATTTCGACTCTGGTTCTTGTTCGAAATCGGGTTTCGCTGAGGTCTCGCCCGCGCATGACGACAATGCGAGGTGATGTTGCTGAAAATTACGATTGGTATATACGAACATAGATCAATCAGCTTGCTCGACATCGCTGCCAACTCCTCAATCACAAGCTGGCGAACGAGCGAACGAGCCAGCAGCATCGGATTGCCGGAGCCTAACTTTATCGCACGACAGATGGTGCACACCCCGGTTGCCGCCCCATGTTTGAGCTTTCGTCCCAGATCCGAACTGAAGTCGATGCACCGACCACACGCAATCCCATCCCTCATTCATCATTGCATCACCAACTAGCCCAAGGCCTTCGTGGTTTCACCTCGGCAGGCTGAGCCAGCGATTCCAGGGTCCGTCCCAACGGCTCACGTTCCCTCCGTGCCCCCCCCCCCCGACATGGTTCTCCTCGAGATGCCCCCGTGCATCTGCGACCCAGGGGCCGCTGTCATCCCTGCCCTCGACCCTCTTCTCGGTCGATGAGCCTGCACCTGGCGCCCAATCTGGAGCCTGCCCTGCTGGAGAGCCGCAAAGCCAAAACAGACTGCCCCTTGTCTAGCAGACGACGAGCGCTGCGCATAGACGAAAACCTGGCCCCCATCGCACACATCGCTGCATCGTGATGGCACAGGACGGATTTCGGATGATCCCCAAGGCTGACACTGCGCCTGAACAGGACTGCGCGTCTGTCCTGTGAAGGCCTGTTATGCTGAGTTGCACCTAGTATCCCCACACCGACAACAGAACGAAGCCTCGCCAGCAACAGACCCCTGGCCCGAGTTGTCGTCCAGCCTTGATCGAGTCGCTACCCACCGTCTCACGCAGTGATCCGAGGATCCACGCCGCTGGCTGGTTCCGTGTTCCAGCCCGTCCGGCAGGGGACGATCAGAACCATGGCACTGCGAGGGCCAAGACGTTGCTCATGGCCCTCCCCCCTCCCCGAATATAACGGCCATGCTGCCTCCTCCAGGGTGCCATGATCAGCAGGCTCCTCCTCACTCCTTGACTATTCTCTTCCACGACTTGTCCGCTCATCCGTTTGCGGCTTCTTTCTCTTCGTCTGCTTGCTCTTCATTTCTAATCGTTTAGTAGAGACTGGTATCTCGAGTTTCTTTGAGCAAGCCTCAGTACACTCTTTATTTCTATTGTCTTCACTTGCCGACATCGACGCCGCTCTACAGCAAAAGCTACATAGATCGCAACTACTACGACGCCTATAACGACAAGCCTATTTTTCACTCATCTTACCCTATTTGTTAGTACGACATGCTGTTCTCCCGGCCTACGACGGCCATCTGGCTGGCCCTGGCCTCCCTGGCCGAGGCCAACCCGCCTGCAGCAGCTCCCGCCCCTCCCGCTCATCCGGCACCCGTCGAGCAGTGCCCTGCACCCGTCACCGAGACGCTCGTCCATACAGTACACGTTCCCGTTCCAACAACAATCAAAGAGACAGTACACGTCACCGTGCCTGGTGCCGCCGAGACTGTTCACGTCACGGTTCCCGGCAAGGCAGAGACAGTTCATGTCACTGAGACGGTACATGTTAGCGTGCCGGTACACGTTACCGTCCCGGTGCCGACAACGATCAAGGAGACGGTGCATGTGACACAGACCGAGCAGGTCGTCCAGACACAGGTGCAAAGTGTTCCTGTCACGGTGGTTCACACCGAAACAGCGATTCACAGCGTGCCGGTGACAGTCGTCCACACCCAAGTCCAGAGCGTTCCGGTCACCGTCGTCCACACGCAGACCGAAGTCAAGAGCGTACCCGTCACGGTTGTCCAGACTCATGTTCAGAGCGTGCCTGTCACGGTCGTTCAAACTCACGTCCAGAGTGTACCCGTCACTGTGGTCCAGACCAAGGTGGAGAGCGTGCCAGTCACGGTAGTCCAGACGCACGTCCAGACCCTCGTCCACACCCAAACGCTGCCGCCCCTAACTCATGTGGTCACAACCACGCAAGACCGACCCGTCACACAGGTACAGACGCATGTTCAGACCAAGGTCGAGTCTGTGCCGGTCACGGTGATCCAGACGCAACCCGTGGAAGTGCCCGTCCAGGTTCCCGTCACCCACGTTGTCACTCAAATCCACACCCAGCCAGTCGAAGTCCCAGTGCATGTCACGCAAACAGTTCACGTTACCGCGCCGCCTCAAACGGTCCATGTTACAGCACCACCGCAGACAGTCCACGTCACTGCGCCGCCGCATACTGTCACTCTTCCGCCTCACACTGTTTCTGCGTGCCCTCCGGGGGCCGCCGGCACCGGTTGCAACCGCCACCCGCGGCGCACCCCGCCCGGCCCCCTGCGCACCCGATGCCACCATGCGCACCCGGCTCCCCTGCCTATGCACCCCAAACCGACCGCGGCACCGACTCCTGTTCCGATGCACCCCACACCCGAGCAACCTGCCGCTCCTCCTGCGCACCCCATGCCCGAGCAGCCCGCCGCTCCCCCCGCGCACCCCATGCCTGCGGAGCCCGAGAAGCCGGCGGAACCCACAAAGCCCACGGAGCCTGAGAAGCCAGCTGAGCCTGAGAAGCCTGCAGAGCCTGAGAAACCAGTCGAGACGGAAAAGCCCGCGGAGCCCGAGACACCGCCCCGCGACGAGCCTGCGACGACAACGGCCGCCGAGCCCACGCCCACGCCCATCTTGGTGCCCGCGGCGCAACGAATGCGATTCATGAAGCGCAACTGATCGCTGAGGCGTACAGAAGCAAGGATTGAAAGAAGAAAGTAACTTTTTTTCTTATGTTGACGGCAGCGAACGGGGGCGGGCAGCGTAGTAGTAGTCCCCGCCTCTGAGGACGGACTTGTGTACGTGCGGCTGCGCGCGCGCGTTGTGTGTTCATGTTGTTTACCACAGCACCCCGTAACACCCTGCCCACTCTCTCCCCCATCTCGTACATAATTATTAGAAATTAGATGGCCGACGGCTGCGATGATACCCCCCCCAGTCCGTCTGCCGTCGTTCAATCGAGCGGTTCATGACCAGTACATGTGTGACATGTGCAATGAATGGCCTCATGTGGGGAGCTGGGCGAGTTGAGACGAGTGATGGCGAAGCAGCAATCGTGACGTGGGAGGAGATGACAAGTTAAGAAAGGCCGGGGTGGCGGAGGAACGCGAAGGAACGAAGAAGAAAGGTAACGCCGATGAAGAATGAATGCAGTCAATTCGCTATGCTAAAACGACAAATCATGTACCGCTTCTAGAATCAACCCCCACCTCACAGCGCGAGGTATCCCGACCATGGTCGTTTCCAGTCAGTGCG